GCCACCAAGTAGCTCATCACCAAGGCACGTCAACACCAGGTCAAACACGAGGTACTTAGCCAAAAAATTTTACACATCCCAAAAAATGGTACGTGACCGAAAACGGTTACATCAGTTACTATTATTATTTTGGGAGTTTTTGAAAAGTTTGAGAAGTTTTTTGCAATCTAATGGAAGTGGACATCCTTATTTAGTATCATTTGGGACGGACTGATTTAAGAAGATTGAGAGAATAGATTTCTTCTTTGGTAGCTTCTACTTCTAAATGGATTGCAATCTAGCATTCATTTATCTATGAATTTAGGTATGTTTAATGGTTGTTTATCAATGGATTCCAATCCAAAATTTTCAACAATGATCAAATTTGAAACACTTCTTGATCAACAACCTAGGCCCCCATATTAGATGCTTTTTGATGTGTCTATCTTATTTGTTGTTGCTTCCTATGGTCAGTCTCTTCCATCATGAAGTTATAGGTCTTTAGAGTGTCAACTCTCTCAGTAGTAAGTTGTAAAATCCAATATCAAGTCGCAAAGACTGGATTTGAGGTGAGAGATGTTAGCTATGATTTTTAAGTCAAGTGCTTTATTATTCTTAGAGGCTGCAGATATGTTGATTGTAATGGTATTGTAGAGGTTTTCCAAATGACTTTTGGTAGTTTGAGGTGATATGTTTGACTTATCCATAAACCCATGAGATATATTTCCAGCCCATTGCAATCAATAGTTATTCAGCTTCGATATGGGCTAACATCATTTTTATATTGTTTTGAATATATCCTTTGATGATTTTGGCATTTCTTGCCACTCAAATTGATTAAAGGTTACATATGAGGGCACTTGGGTACTTGAAGATCTTGGTCTTAAAATATGGATGCTTTGTTGCCGAACTGTTTGGAGTGGATAATGTATGAAACATCTATACCTAGCTAGTTGTATTCGTTTGGGAATTGGACCCACTATTTATAGGGTAAATTTAGGTTGGATTTTTTTATTTGATTTTAGAGACTTGAACTTAATTGATAATTCACAATCTATTTTATCTAAAAAAATGTGACCCACACCATGATATTGAAAACTTTTCTGCTGATTCTTTTTTTTTTGTCTTAATTAGGATGTTAAATTGGATTAGATTTGTTATCAAGAGAAATACTTAGGATGCAGCTTTTTAATCTAGATTAAAATTTTTTGTTTTCTTAGGCTTAGGTTGAAAGGAGTACAAATACATATGCAAAGTGTAAAACATTGTATTTTGTATATATTTGTATTGTACATATTTGTATTTGTACTCTTTCCAAACTGAGCCTTAAAGTTTTGGCTTTATGATATGATTCTCATATCATAAAAATGAAACAAATCTAAATTGAGCCTTAGAGTTTTCGTTGCCTTAGTTTGGAATAAGAACATTAAAAAGGAAAAAAATCTAAGCCGGAAGACCGCCAGTATAGCCATAAACATGAACTAAGGCGATGGTCTAGACTACCGTATACAAGGATTGGGCAATAGTTGGCAAAATATGAGTCGGAGGTCGGCAATATTTAAGGTGACGGTCCGGACCACCATTTAAATTGTTTGGCACGAACTAAGGCGGCGGTCAAAAACATCTAAGCTGACAGTCCAAACTGTTGCTTTTGACGATGCTAAGACAGCAAGCAGTACCACCGCCTTAGAGGTGGTTGAACTGCTTTAAACCAGCAACCAAAGGCGGCAGTCTTAATTATCTTAGGCGGCGGTCTTCAGCAAAGGCAACACCAACTTAGCTGGCGGACCAGAGACCGTCACCTTAGTTCTATGGCGATGGTCCGCCGGTTTAGACTGTTTTTCTTGAAGTGAAATCAACTAAAGTACCAACTTTGCCACCACTCAATTGTCAATTTCCTCATGATTGTACTTTGTAGAGATTCCATACATCTTTCTGCACTCCCAAAACCACAAGTGTTGAGATATACGCTTCACCAACAGGATTACAAGGAACTTTTGAGATATTCAATTCTTTGTAGCCCTGTTGGTGAAGCTTATATCTCAACACTTGTGGTCTTGTTGAGAAATAAGCTTCACCAATAGGGTTACAAAGAAATGTCGAGATACCATGTCCACTGGTGGGTGAATTGAGATTTTCTCTTCACATCGACTCATAGCATATCCTGGCCGTACATCAGCATTCATGGGGAGATGGTTCCAATACACGGTGGGATGTGGTTGTAAAACCGGTATGAGGAGTGCTTTACGAGGAGCAGATTCGGACTCCTGGTGGGTGGTGGATGCATGTGGTCTGATTAGATGGATGGTAGTGTGGGGATTGGGGAGGTGTGCCCAGCAAACGTGAAAAGGATTTGGCACACGTGGTTAGGACTACAAGTGGAGCAGATTTTACATGATTCAAATCACGATCTCGTTCTTTTAAATTCGATTGCCATGCTGTGTGACGAATGAACATGTCAATGTTCCATGAATGGTCTCATGTGCAAGGACTCTTGATTGGTTACATAGCCTTTTTTACATATGACATGGCGAACAACAAATTTCAAGTGGCATTTTGTCATTTAGATAAATTTAGGTGTTGTTTGGTAAGTCTTTTTAGAAAGATCATTCAATAACTTAGATGAACAAAAAACATATTGGGCTTTTAGGGTCCTGTCTTTAAAGACAAAGACCATTTGGTAAACAATTCGGTTTACTGGGCTTTTAAAAATGTGTTTAGAGGCTATATCAATGCATTGTTGTAAGCAAGCCAATTCTAGGTTGAATGTTCTGCTCATCTCAAGCACAACATCCAAATTTCCAACCTCACAATCTAATTTATCATAAGAATCCAATTGAAATGCTAAATAGGGATGACAATTTTCCTCATTCCCATTGATTACCTAGCCTCCCCAACCCGGATGGAGTTGGGGATGGAGAGTGAAGAAGTCTCCACCTTGCCCCGACCTTGATGAACCCTTTAGGGTTCCAAACCCTAACCCTGAACCCTTTAGGGTTCTTTCACCTACCTCACCATCGAGCTCCATATGTGCCAGACCCCAACCAGAAGAAACAACGTCCCCAGCAGAACGTGACCCATGAATGATCCCATCTCTGTAATTCTCACTTCAACCACTAATAAACTTTGATCTCTAAGCTTCTTTATTCTTCTTTTCTGCTCGTGATGGAAGATCAAAATCCCTATTTTCTACGGTCCAATTGCCGACGTCTATTTCTTGGAGTGTTAATCCAAATTTTCCTGTTACAATAACAAGGATTTCAATCTTTATGCTCTCTATTTAAAATCAGAAGTGACCGAAATTTTCAAGAATCGAACTCCTAGCTTAGATTTTAAACCGAACACAGGAACAAAAATTCGAAAATTCTTTTGCTCTATTTTATAGGTTTTTTTGTCGCAAATACTTTGACCTCATTCTCTGTTAGGTAAGCTCTTGTGCAAGATCGGAAAAACTGAAAAAGGGAAGGGAATACTTTCTGGTGAAAGTTGTTTATTTTATGTTTAGCTTAAGGCATTCCTTCACATGCTCTTTTCCGTCGTGTCCAGCGCGCCAAGGCATCCCTTCACGACGTCGTCGGTGTAAGTGAAGTTTCGGGCGACTTCCTTATTGTCCTGTGTTCGATAAATGGTAATGGGCTTGCCCTGAAAAATATCCTTAGTGAAGAAGAAGTAAGCCATGTGGAGTCGTCCCCACGGGCCGTAGACGGTGAAGAAGCGGAGTCCTGTAATGGAGACACCGTAGATGTGATTGTAAGTGTGAGCTATCTCCTCGCCAGCTTTCTTTGTTGCGGCGTACAGACTCGCCGGTTGGTCTGTCCGGTGGGATTCAGAAAATGGGTTATCGGTGTTCAGGCCGTAGACGGAGCTAGACGATGCCCAGACAATGGTGGGTTGAGCAGTGGGTACCCACGAAGCCAACGGCCCCAGCGACCAACATAGAGAAGCCATTGAATCTACAGGGAGTAGACGAGTGGCGGACTTGCTTCTCCCTCTCTCTCCCCGGTAATGGATGTTAAGCCGCCGCCGGGTGGATGGGGGAGAGAGAGGGAGAAGCAAGTCCGCCAGTGACACTCAAGAGTCAAGGGAGAGAACGAGTCACTAACGGCGTGAAGCATCCCTCGCATGCTTCAACCGTTTACACGAATCGGCGCGTCCTCCAATTGCGCAAACGGTGCCTGAGGGTGCCTGGACCGAAGCCGAACTCCCTTCAATGGGATTACTATGTGCCTCTAATTGCTACTTGCCCACCAACATTATTTGAGCAACAATTCCCCCATTTGATCAAAGGAAAGGAATAGAAAAAGGAGAAATGAAGAATCTAAACATCCTATTTATATGTGAATTATACACACAATCTAACAAGATCATTCTTATTAGATCTCACATATACCTCCTGCATACCTCCTCTCATAAGACCTGGTAGGTCTTCATAAGGTCTTTCTCTCTCTCCGCTATATAGTCATTATTTATAATATCTCCCCAACTCATTAAATCTCCCTCTTCCTCTTAAATATTTCTTAATCCTTTTTGAATCTATTTTATAAAGTAGGGGTATAAATTAGATAAATTGGATTAGGCCAACCTAAATATGAACCCTAACTTGACCTGAAACTAATGTAAAAAACTATATTTATCCACTAATACATGGGGTAAATCAATTTTCTTCTTATGTAAAAATTTAAATGAACCATTTCTTCTTTTCATGAGTTATTAGGTTTTCTTTGTTTTTATTAATTTAGTTAATATAGATTTGTTTCATGAATTATTTTGGTTTAATAATAAAATATGAAAATGTAGTAAGAAAGTAGTTTTTTTAGTATTTTATATATACATGACTAGAAATATAGAAAAACTGGATGAAAGTCATTATTATTTCATTTTATTCCCTGAATTGGTAATGAATCAATTAACAAAAATTGATGGGTTCAATCGGACGTTTCCACTCTCACGTATGTTATTGAGTTCAAGAGAATGGTTGGTAGGGGAGGAATGTGAAGAAGAGATGAGGAACGAATAGAAGCTCAATCTCTTTGTTTTCTTTGGAATGACCTTTGTACAGTTGTACAGGTTCTCTAGCTCACCGCCACTTGTCCCTCCTCTTTTTTGTCATTGGGTTTTTTAGGTCATGTTTGGGAGTGTTTATTGAATAAGTGCTTAAAACAAGTTCTTATTTGAATAAACACTTATTTATATTCGGCATCCAATTTTTTTAATTACTTATTTTTTAAAATAAGTACTTAATTTTATATTGGGTGTTTGGTAGTCTTTTTCTTTAATAATCACTTAAATAAGCATTTGTGACTATTTTGTCTTCCATTTTCTTTTAAAATTTTAAAATATACCCTTTGAAAGCACTTTTATAAAAATATTTTTATGAAAGCATTTTTACAAAAAAACACTTTTATGAAAGCACTTTTACAAAACACGTTTACAAAAGTACTTTTATAAGTCTTTTATAAAGTACTTTCATAAAAGTATTTTTATAAAATGCTTTTTTGTAAAAGTGCTTTCATAAAGTTCAATTAGAAATAATTTTATAAGTGGTATTTTAAAATTCAGCTAGGGATAACTTTGAAAGAAAAAATTTGAATAAGTACTTATCACTTAAAAAACTATAAATTTTGAACTTAAAAAATAAGCCCTTATTTTTAAAAAAATCACTTATTTAAAGACTTGTTTCCCAAATACCAATAAGTTCTTTCTTAGTTTCATTAAAATACCAAGATTTAAGGATTTTCTCTAGTAACATCAAAGTGCATGCTAACAACAGCTAATGGCATTTTTTACTCTTAATTAGTTTTAAGTAATTAACTTTTTTTTTGAGTTTATAATTCTCTTCGGAAATATTAATAAATTATCAAATACATGAGTGGCAAGCCGTTCAAGCTCTGGGCCGGCCCAACGAGCGGAGGACATAGGTGCTGCTTTGAGTGTATTACTATTGTCCAAGAAAGTCGGTGAAGCAAACAAAGGATGAAAGGATGTATGTAGTGTAACCGGGAATTAGTAACTGTCCAATCTCCATGCTTTTTAGTTTTACAGTTAATTGTCAATAGTGGTTTTTAAGTTTTAACTTTTAATTCTGAAGTTTGAAGCCTCGAAGAAGGGTAACGTGGTCATTTAGAAAAAGAAAAAGTAGAAGTAGCCATGTCAGACTAAGGACGTAGCAATAATGATGAAATTGATTAGCGGATCTAGAGAGAGATTCGGAGATAGCTGTAAATGGTCAAACTATAGCAGTCAACACGACATACACCTGAAATGGTAGTCCACGTGGCATATAGGTCCCGGTTAAAAGTCACGAGGCCTATAGGCCCAGTATCCTGAAATAGATATGTTGACAGCGACGTGTCGTTCCATTTTGTCAGCTGCACCCTGCACCCTGCACCCTTCCGTACTGTCTTGTAAAGTTTGTCTGGTTCGAGGTCGACAACTCGTCCTTCTCCCACCCACCCACACTCCACACTTCCTCTTCTCTCCTATACTGCCTAGTGCCTATGCGCTTCCCTTCTCCCTTCGCTTTTCTAGCTTTCTTTTGCTTTCCATTCTTTTACAATATTTTTTTATTTTTCCTTTTCGTAGTCCATTACTCTAGATATAAGAGAATTATAGATGCATGGATGAAACTTGAAAGAACCACCCAGAATCAAATAATTAATTTTAAGGATACAGGGGATTGAGAGTTTGATGATGATGATGATGATGATACCCGACTCCCGCCTTCATTCCAAGATTCAAGGTTGACACCTGTGCAAAGCAAAGGTTTGGTGGCGATTGGGCACATCGAGGTTCTTACTTCTTACCTCAGGTTCTGCAATTGGTGGCCCACCAGCACCAGCTGTGCACCTGCTTCTATTACCCATCCAGGCTCCAGCTTTGATATTGTATTCCGACTGTGGCCCACCAACAAGATTCCACCTAATAAACAAAAAAAACAATCCCATCCCACTTGGCCACTTCCTTCCCTTTCAAACAAAACGTTTATCAACCATTTTATCTTCTTTCTGTGCTTATTTTGTCAAGTGCAATACAGAGAAAAAATCGACGACGACGATGATGGTGGTGCTCATCAGTAATAATTACTCAACGTTATGGTTCCTGATCGACGTAAGGAATAAGTGGGCCTTCTCATTCTTCTTTTATATTATTCCACCTAATTCAGCTTCCGTAACCGGTGAACGATGACGATGATCGTCTTCAAATGCTCGATCCGTTTGTTTTCTCCTCATTCTTAACAAATATGTACACAGATACATACAAATAATACAAAGTACCAGGTTTTGTACTCTTATTATTTGTAATTTTGAGGCCCAAAAGAAATTAATCTTCCACAGTGTGAAAGTAATATATTCAGCAACATATTTATCAGCTTTAGAATAGAACAGAATCAATAAACTATATAATTAATGTAGCCCATGTCCATTACATGGGACAATATAGAAAACCCACCGACCCGACCGAGGTCGTCCAAACTTGTTTTGTAGTGTTGAGTTCTCAGATTTGTCACCCAAACGGTGGTCCAAGCGAGGAATGATCCTTGGGCTTGGGCCTTCTATTCAGTGGATTTAGGGACCACCATCAGCAGTGCATCCAATGGGCAATTTGTAGCAAGTCTTCCTACTTGGTCTGTACCAACTACCAACCAAAGAAAAAAATGCTTCTTTCCTCTTATTATCACTTTGATAGATTGTTGAAGGCTATTTGTTCATCAGTCCATTTAATTGGAGAGAGAGAGAGGTTCTAACTCGGAGCAAACCGCCGAAACATAGCTTAGCTTAACCACCCATATTTTGTATGTGTCTGGTTAGTTACATTTACGTTTTTTCATTCAAAGTTTATATTTTATTTGTTTATAAAATCGAGAAAAAATAATAATTATAATCATTTATAACAACTAGGTATCACTAGAAATTACGTCAGCATAACAGTGAAAAATACCTAACCGTTTGAGGAAACTTTAAAAATACCTCAAGCGGTAAATGAACACAAAAAACCAAAAAGTCACACTTTGCTATTCTCGATGCTTAAGAAGAATATGAGAAGAGAACTGCTGAAGTGATGCCACATTGGCACCACAGTAACAAAAACCCTCTTTGACGGGCATGTTATCAACAATGGTCGTGGAGGAAAGACAAAGGGAAAATCACACATGGATAAAAGTATGATTTTCATTCCCCAATTTTCCATTACCAAATTTATGTCCATCAAATCCACTGGTACTTCTACACAAAAAGAAAAAAAAAAAAAGAATTCCTGGTACAAATCTCATATTTGTATTATTTAATATTTTGGTTGTATTTGATTGCAATGCAAATATTTAATATTTTTTTTTTCAGTTTAAAAATGTAAAATGTAACTTTGTACTTTTATTCTTGTTTGTTTGAAATCAGTACAAAATATAGGCTTCATCGTTAAGACTATGTTTGCTTTGAAGGAACAGAGAAGGAAGGAAGGAAAACATAGAAAAGCCTATATAAAGTTTGTAAAATTTTCCTTACATTTTCCTTTCTGTCCTTACTTTTTCCTTCAAACCAAACACAGCCTAAATGTCTTAAATTTTTTCTCAAACACAAATTTTTTATATAATAAAATGGGTACAGCAACGAATCGGGGTACATAAATTGCCAGATTTGACATTTGTATTTGCAAACAAACACGTCATTAATTAAGAATAAAAGGTTTGCCTGATTAATGAGTGATTACATCAGTCATTAATCAGAGATCAAGCATGCATGTTTATCTAAAGAACATGTAGTAAAAAAATAATTTGGGATAAACAGATTGCACCACTTCAAAACTCTGAATTACACTACAGGCTTCAAAAATTCAAAATTTAAAATACCTCCATCTAAATACTAACTCCGAGTTGCCACCAACGGGTACGGTAGAGCTAAAATTTGTTGGGTGGATTGAACAGTAAAAACCCCAATTTAACATATTGTATCTATTCACACGAGTAACCGATCACATTCTCGATTCCGTGACACACCAAATGGGGTACTCTAAAATCTGGTTTGGCCTTGCTTGTTATCTTGTTTATTTGTAAGAAGTAAAATAGGCAGGAAAATATAATGTGTTTGGTTTATTTTATGTTTTTTCATTCAACGGTTGTGCATTATTTGTTTACAAAACCGAGAAAGTTAATATTTACAATCATTACGACAATTAGACGTTATTAGACATCACATCAGCGTAACCGTGAAAAAATACATAATCGTTTGTGGAAGCTTTAAAAAATAACTTCCTCAAAAGGTAGACATGCACAAAAACCGAAATTCACTTTTATCATTCTAGATGCATACTAAAGAGCAAGAGAGGGGTACTGTTGAAGTGGTGCCTATGTGACAACATTTATTGAATAAACGTCCATAGAACCAAACCGAGATCAGCTCCTCACAAATGGGCACCTCATAGGCACGTCCACCGTGCATTGGGAACATCTCCCATAAATAATAACTAATAAGTATGGGAGATGTTCCCAATGCATGGTAGGATGCGCGTGTGAGGCACCAGGTGTGAGTAGCAGATCCAGTCTCCATGGAACAAAACACCCTTATAGTCGTCACTTTATCATGTTGTGTTACATGAAAGAGAATGGTGGGAGGAAATGTTATCTGTTTGGGACGTTTAAGTTAGGAAGAAACAAACCGTTAAGAAGCAGCATGATGTAATCCCACAATTCCACTTTATATGAGAGAGAATCAAGATGGAGGAGAGGTGCAAATTTTGCATCAGTCAACACCGCTAAAGGGTGCAAATGAGAATAAAAAAAGCACATTTTGTATCAGGTTGGGAATTTGAGCTTCTACATGCCTCTCCAAGAGTATTGTTTCCAATATGGAAATTAAGTGTACATAGGGGTGGCAATGGGTTGATCACCCATTGGGTTAATTTAAATGGGTTGGGTCGAGTTGGGTTATGGATAACCATTGGGTTAACCACAAATGGTACATGTGTGAATTCTTTAGCCATTATTCTTTAATTTTCTTCATTTGAGTGTGAATTTCTATTAATTGTTAACTAAAATTAATTTCACCTTGAATCAACATATTTCACCCAAATTGACATAAATCCAAATCAACCCAACCCAAGTCTCGACCAGTCCCACTCAGTTCAGCCTAGTTCAAATTTGAACAGACTCGATCACCTAGGTTTCATCTATTTGGGCTGGCCAGTCTAGTCCGATCCGGTCTGAATATCCGAATCAGATCCAAATAACTTAGGTTGATTAACTTGACTCGGTTTAGACCAACCAGCTCCGTCTAGAACCCCATGCATAGACTTATTCATGGGTCAGGTAGCCCGATGGGCTGGCCCGACCCCTGGATGGGCTTGAACATGAGTTTTAGACTGCAGGCTTTACCTCGAGCCTAAAAGCTCGCTCGATTTCTTTTCTAGACGGGCTCGGAATTTGTCAAAAAAGCCCACCCCGACTATTATATAGTTTAAACCCTAAATTCCCTAAATTCCTAAGCCGCCTAACCCTAACCCTAAATTCTTTTCACTTTTCTTCTCATTCTCAGTTTCTCACTCTCAGAACCGGTGAACCCAGTCGCACCGTTTTCACTCTACGACTTCAGGCACCGGCGGCCGGCGCCACCAGAACTACTCTCTCTCTCTCTCTCCGGCTGGCACCATTTTCATCTTCTATCTTCTCACTTTTCTTCTCACTCTCAGACTCTCAGAACCAACGAACCCAGGTGCACCATTTTCACTCTATGAACTCAGGCACCAGCAGTCGACGACACCAGAACTAGGTCGTCTCTCTCTCTCTCTTCGGCTGGCACTGTTTTCATCTTCTATCTTCTCACTTTCTCAATTTTCATTCTCAGTCTCAAACTCCAAGGAACAAGTGAACTCAAGCACCATTCTCCCACTCCCAAAGGCAAACTCAAGCACCGATGCTCAAACTCCCAGGTCGGGCTTCGGGCTTTTTATGAGGGCCAGGCTCGGACCCAAGTTGTAGGCCCATTGGTCAGGTTGAGCTCGGGATCGGGCCTGAAAAATTTCTGTTAATGAAGAGCAAAAGCCCGGCCTGACCCATGAACATGTCTACCTGTGCAACCCAAAATAGACTAGTCTGGTCTGAACAGAAATGATCGATCTGGACTGCCCACCTTGACCCGATTCGAATCCGTCAGGTCAATCCCAAACCTTTGCACACCCCAATATGGACCGATCTGAGCTAACCCATCATATGTTGAACTGGTCTGGTTTGGTCAGAGCAGACTGGTCCAAATCCAACTTGTTTGACCACTCTTGATGTGATTAGCTTGAAAATAAATCCAGTTAGATAGTTCAAGTTGGTTTGACCGATTTGAGTCTCAGTGGTTCGGTCAAACTCAAGACCTGAACATAGTCAAAAGACTTCAAGTGATTAATTGCTTTTTATTCTCCTTGTAAAAGTAATATGCATGTGACTTGAACTTTTACCACCTGTGTAAATAATAACTTACATGGCCACTAAACTATGACCAACTTATTTGTCAAAAGGAGTTAACTTTTACTTTGAAGTACATAAATATAAGATTAATGGGTTTGAGTGGATTAAATTGGGTCAATACAGGATTAGGTTGAATCCAACCCATTTAATTTTATATAACCGGATCATTAATGGATTGGTGAAATTAGATGAATTAGATTGAAGTTCAACTCAAACGAAACCCAACCCAACCCACAGAATTGCCACCTATAAGTGCAGAACTCCAAAATAATCATTTTTAGATAGCAAACAACCCTCCGATGGAAGGAAGAAGGATAGATTGAATTGCTTGTTCCATCCGGCTACCTTGATTAGTATCTATCATTTCACTCCGAGACAAAGGTTAAACGGAAAGATATAGGGGATTTATACAGATGATCAATAGTCTATCCAAAACTCATTCTCAATAGGGTACTTTAAAACTTAACTATTGTATCATTACGAATAAGCATAATTCAACCTAGTTCGGTTTGGTGCAAACGTCTGATAAAGAGTTCCCAAAACAACAAGCCAAAGAGCACATATGTATATAAACACATCCCATTTGAGTCCCAATAAAGCAAAGGTCCACTCTTAATAAAAAGCATTAAGATCCTTTTGTAATTATCCCATATGAGATTTAAGTAAAAATAATAGGAGTCGAAAAAAAAAAAAAAAACTTTTAGGAATGGAGGGAAATAAGAAATTTTAGCTTAAACTAGAGTTTATGTGAACATAAATTATACCAGTGTTAATGTGTGCAATTAATTAAAAAAGACCCCAAAAAATATATGTATGAAAAAATGCACGCTAAAACTTTTGAATCACACCCAAAGGTTACTAATAATACACCAAGCGCATCCATCCTAAAGCAGCCCTCTTTCTTTTTCTTTTTGAAAGAAGATGTCTTATTTAATTTCCTTGATCTTGGCACATTGTAGCGGTTTATTTTTTATTTTATATTTTTAGTACTGGAGTTGGAGTTATACAAGGTTATTAATGTCTCTAGACTCTCTCTACACAGCTTTTCCAAATAAATAAATAAAGCTTGGGCCGCTTGACAAACACTGCACGTTGTAATACTTGAAAATCTTTTGAAAAATGTCATCCAACAATCTTTTCAAGTCCTAAATGTACTCGAGGGTTACTCAACCAACCTATCATTCCCCTTACTTGGATGGGGAATGCGCGGTGAAATAAATGTCACAGCCTCAGCATTCAGAAAGCTACATTAGTCAAATATTAGATTTAGAATTCTCAAACCAAATTGGTTCTTAAAACTCTGGTCGTCATCATCTACTCGAAAATACAGTCATTGGTTTCTTCCAACCATTATATGAAGGAAAATACAGCTATTGAAACGTGTATATATATTATCACACTTGGTTAAACAATTTGAATCGACCAAGTGCAGATGACGAGGTCTGCATTGAGTAAGAACTTTGAACCAATAACCCATAGTACCGGCTAAAAGTAAATTTTTAATGAATTCCTACTATATCATTCAGCTAGATTTGCCGAGGTAGTAGAACTTCCACCTTTGATTACCAAAAGAGGGAAAAAAAAAATCGGAGTCATTACAAAGAAATTGCTTCAATTTCCAATAATACCCAATGCAATGTTGTTCCTTGAGTCAAGAATAGGATGGGATTAGTTGCTTTAAGCCAAAAAGAGTAAGCCGTTTTCAACCGGAAGGACCTTAATGAAAATAGCAGACAGATATCCAATTTGTGAATGGTCATAAAGTCTTGTAATTAAACCAGTAGTACCCACCAAAAACAGAAAAGTGGCCGTGGGAATCCACCTATAACCCTCGACAAAAGTTCATTTAGGAAACTAAAACAGAAAAATGGTAATGATGACTCAACTCAACTCATGACAGTAGAGAGGTGTGATCAGCCTCGAAAGCAAGACCCATCTGGATTTACATTACTGAGAAGCACACTGAGCTGGCTGTGTACCTGGCAGAGGACCCAAAAGCCAAAAGATGGCACAGTCCTCACTTCTCGTTCCTCAAGTAGCAGATGGGTCACCACACCACCTCGCTGCCATAGAATTTAACCATTGCTGTTGCCCTCAAATACCCCCCCC